TGACATTGCGCGATGTGAGATAAATAGACGTTTTTTTTTTAAATTCTTAGAAACGGATCTATAAGCCAAAGAGCAAAGAACAGCTTATTTTTCTTTAATGTCAAGACTAAAATGCGGAATTGTTTTTATTTAGAAAAAAATAAAAAATAGAAAATATCAATTGATTTGGAATTTAGTTTCGGAAACGCTATGTCACACCTTAATTACAGTTTTGGATAAAAATGGTCACAAATGACTTCAAATTTTTAAGGACGAAGCAATGATTACATGGAGTTATAGAATGCCGTAAATTTTTACCCTACTTTGATGTTTTAAAGTTAAGGTGCGTTTAGTCAGCCTGATTTAGTTTTAAGCATTAACATAGACATTAACATAAAAGTTAATTTCGACACATTTCAATGTACCTGTTTATACAGAATAACATAAGCATAAACATTAACATAAACTAGTGAAGATAAATAAAATTCAACTTATTGCTTAAATTAATGTCGAAAATACAATTGCGCATGTGCGTTCAAAAAGTGAGGTTAAGCTATTTTCCTAACTTTAAACTTTTGAACTTCTAAACTCTTTTTTTGCACTTTTATTAATAATAATGGTGAGATAGTTAGCAGAGCAAGCAATTTCAGAAGCAGCTCCCATACGCCTTTTTTCCATTTTGTATGATTCGTCAAATCTTATGTTAATGCTTAAATTTTTTGTATAAACGGTTTTGTTTTAAAATCCTTAAATTAATGTTTATGTTAGTGCTTAAAAAAAAATCAAGCTGACTAAACGCACCTTTACTCCCAAGTAGGGAGATGTTCTGGACTGGACTTAAATATTTGTAATGTAGTACCTAATTTTAGTAGGTAACTAAAATATAAAAATTTAAGAGACGTTTATAATTCATTTATGATGAGGGCAATAACACTTTACCAATATATAGCTAATAACTAAAAGCTGATTCCACCGTTGTATTAAACGAAATTTAAATTACTAGAGGAAGATTAAAATGACATTGTTAATGTAAAAATATCATTTTAATCTCCATTTAGTAATTTATACTTCTTTTTTTGTTAATGTAAAAATGTCATTTTAATATTCGTTTAGTATTTTGAACTTCGTTTAACACAACGGTGGAATCGGCCCTAAGTAAAATTATTGTAACAAAATAGCTAAGGTGAAGTCGGCAAAGTGCGCATTTCGGGTAAGTGCGAAAATGAGACGTAGTCATTGTATAAAGAACTATAGTAGGATAATCGCCATGTAAAAGTTATTGGAGGCAATCACGCCCGACATCTATTGGTACAATCATTGAACTAACGATTTTATTTACTGGTTAGATACGCCCTCTACTTCAGATGTTAGAACTTTATAAGTGATAATTCCGTCAAATTAATTGTCAATATATATTTTTTTAGTTATTAAGATTAAATATAATTAAAAATTAGTTATTTTTGTGAAGAATCAATAAATAATAGCATTCCACAAGATATTCGTCTATATTTAAAAATAAACTGAGATTTTAATGAAACTAAAAGCAATCTGATTATCAGCGTTAAGACTTTCTGACAAATTTGATAAAAAAAATTGAAATTTTGGGTTTGTATGTAAAAAAATCATAGATTTTAATTGTTCTTTAAAAAAGTTCTAAATTGAGTTTTTGGGGATGCCACCCCTCTATCTCCCTCTAGGGGATGGTAGTGGTAAGATTTTTATACAAAAATGTTGCAAATCATTTCTATTGTAAATATGCCAAAAATAAGATTTGTCTGTCCTCTGTAACTATGTTTAAATGCCAGCCCCCACATCCGAATTATGACGGTTAAAGTCGAAGTTCAAAAAAAAATTGTTATTTTGGGTTTATATGTATACAAAATCGTAGATTCCAACTGTTTTATTTAAGACGTTCTAACTTGATTTTTTGGGGATGCCACCCCCTCCATTTCTCGGGATGGTGGAGGTAAGATTTTTATACAAAAATGTTGCAAATCACTTATATTATAAATGTGTCAAAAATAAGATTTTTGTGTCGTCTGTAACTATTTTTAAATGCCAGCCCCCACATCCGAACTGTGAAGATTAAAGTCGAAATTTTTTTTAAGTTCAAAAAAAAATTTGGAAACTTTTTTTCAAAAAAATTGTAATTTTTGGTTTTTATGTATAAAAAATCGTGGACTTTAACTGTTTTATTTAAAAAGTTCTAACTTAATTTTTTGGGGATGCCACCCTCACCATATCAGATAGGGGTGGGGAGGGTGAATTTTTTTAAAGCAATTTTTATTTTTGTGGGTTAATACATCCATATATTAAGTTTAGTTTCAATATTTCGATCCTAAATGCCCTATCCCCCAGAGCCGAACCCCAACCAATAATCCTTATAGAACCCATTGTGTTTACTTCAATATTAAGAATTCATTTACATTATTTACCAACCATCTTAAGGGTTTTTTTAATTACATTGTTACGTACCAGATTAAAGAAATAACCTGCTGTTTATAATTTTTTATGCTAAGTACTTAGGTAGGTACTTTACCTACCTACCTATAGGTATATGTATTTGAATTAAATATACAATTTTTCTCAACACTTAAGAAATGTATTATTATTGCTATTAATATTATTATATAATTTATTTTAAATTAATTCGGATAAAACCTGTAAAGGAAAAGAAAAACAAAAGCATATTTTCTATTTTATTAATTTCAAAACAGTTATAAATACACAAATTTTTAATTAATAGTTAACTAATTTATATCATAATATATATCATTAAGAATGGGACATAGTACAACTAAAAATTATCTGATTAAAAATAAAACTATTAAACGAAATATGCTTAGAAAAAAAAATACCCGTTTTCGAAATGCAGGGTGTTAAAGTTGAAAATTCAAAAATTATTAATGGCTATAATATTTTTATTTTTTAGTATCATTTTACTGAATTCGGTAAACATTTTTGACACTTTCCAAAAACTAATTTAAACTATATTTTTTTTTTTTTTATATAAATCATGTAGGTACTCTTGTTGGGAACTCGTCCTTTATTAAAAGTAAAATAATTCAGTTATAAAACATAAACACAACTCATTCACAATACCTACTACCAGTAAACGCATTAACAACGCACAATAACAAACATTAGATAGAAAATAGTCCAAATAATAAATTACGAGTTAATGAAATTTCATCCAAGAGCTAAAAATAGAAATCCATCGATCGGTCTCCGTCATTCACTAAAATTTCAGGTGGACCCTCAACTCCGCCCACTGCAAACGAATATTGACTTATCCATATTCACTAGCGCCATATATTGGTAGTATCCATTTCGTTCCAATGAAATTTCCAAAAGGTGAGACTACTATTAGTTCTTTATACAATGTTTCGTGCGAAAGTGAGACGTAGTTTCCTTATTTTTATACCAATCAATCTGTGAACATTGTAATACAGTAGCCCAAACATGTTTCAACTATCGGTTAACAGAGGGCGCCATTTAGCATCATCTAGACTACAAAACAGAATCGGCTACTGTGACCTGTCAAATAAACAGGTGGTCCAAGTTTGTTAAGCTTTTTTAAATCTACGATCATCTGCAATTGATTATATGTTTTGGTAAGTTTTAATATGAACTCATGTTTGGCATTAATTAAGGCATTTAGCCACCAAATTATGCTTCTTAATTAAGTTCATTTGCAAAAAAAACATGACCTACGCACTTAACCTCAAAAAACACAAAGGCGGGTAAGTGCGAGGTTACCGGCTTTTTCTAGTACGCACTTCCCCGATAATAAATTTTTTTTTATTTTTTCTTTACAGGTCACAATGCCTTCAAATTATGTACGTAAAACTAATAAAGGCGGAAATTACACTAAGGCGACTATGGAATAAGCTGTAGAAGAAGTAAAGTCTGGTGTCTATAAAGCATACAAAGCTAGTAAAGTATACAAGATTCCCATGACTACCCTAATTGATCATGTTAAAGGAAGAAGAGGAAAAACTCTTCTTCTTTCAGCAAATCAACAGCTCTGTCATTAGAAGATGAAAAAAAAAAACTAGTAACGGGGCTCTCTTATGTGGAAAAGTACGGGTACGGTATGTCAAGAAAAGAGGTGCTAGAACTATTAGGAAGATATGTAAAAGAAAAAGGATTAAAAACGCCGTTTAAAGATGGGGTTCTTGCAAAAGATTGGTTCATCGCATTTAAGAAGAGACATAATTTTTCATTGAAAAAACCACAGAGAGTTGAATATACCCGTAAAAAAGCTTGCGATCTCTTCATTATCGCAAGTTATTTTGACCTATTAAAAATACGATGGAAGAATTAAATTTGGTGGATAAGCCCGAACTCATTTGGAACTTAGACGAGAGCAGCTTCTGCAGAAATCCATCGAAAACCAAGGTCTTGAGTCAAAAAGAGCGTTCTTAAACTCGCACAACGAGTTCTTCTGGTAAAGAAAACATTACTGTACTTTTAGCATGTAATGTTGCTGGAGGTAAAGCCCCACCGCTCATCATATTCAAGGGGAAAAATATTTGGGATGAATTTATGACTCCAGAAAACTAGGGGTTCCCTGGAACAACATATGCTGCTACGAGTAATTGGTCCACAAAGGCCAGTATATGATGGCCATGCAACACGACATGTCGGTCTCACACTGATAGAAATGACAAGGGATGAAAACATTGTGATTTTAAAACTTCCACCGCATTCCAGCCACCTACTTCAGCCACTTGACTTATGCGTTATGAAGTCTTTAAAGGTTCGCTGAGATGCAAAACTCACAACATGGCAGAGGCATCATATTGAAGTGAAACTACCAAAAAAAGAATTTTCTAAAATGATTGGAGAACTATGGACTGAAACCAACAAAGACGTGATACAACACGGGTTTAGAAAAGGTGGAATATTTCCATTTAATGACGAGGTTATTCCCGACGAAAATTATGATCCCGCTGCCCTACAGCGATGTAAACAGCACAATATTTCCGTTCACAGCAATAATGACAATAATTTACCAGGGTGCTCTTTTACCCCCAACAGAGTAAGTGAAACCAGTGCCCTCGATTCAGATCAACTTCATAATATACCAACCGCAAGTTGCTCCACTACTGCCCAGATAGAAGCAGAATCGAATACAGATGTTAGTTTTGAAAAATTGCTTCTTGCGACTATGAAAAATCACACTTCTTATGAGAAAGTAAAGAAAAAGCGGGTATGTCCAAGTGCTAAGGTTATCACTAACGATTGTGCCATACAAAGACTTAAAGATAATGAAATTAAGAAGAAAGTTTAGCTACAAACAGCCAAGAAGAAAAATGAAAAAAAATCTAAAATTGACAGTTCGGATGATGAAGAAAATGCGGACAACTTCAGTCTACACTCATCTTCGAAAGAGGCATCTTTATCTACACTTTTAAGAAAAGAAGTAGAAGAACGCCAAGAGGAAGAAGAAGAAGAAGCCTTTAAACCTCTAGGCGATTGGGCAATTGTTAAATTCTGTACAAAAAAGTCAGTAAAATATTTTATGGGTAATATTTTGTCATTTAATGATTATGGAGAAGCTGTTGTTAGTTATGTTAGGAAAGCGTCAGACCATGCAGGCATAACGACTTTCCATTTCTTATCTCAAAAAGACATTGTACATGTTATTTTCCATTTCCTATCTCAAGAAGACATCACAGATGTTATGGAAGATGACATAATCTCCATTTTGCCGAAACCAACCATTCGACGCAGGGGAGAAGTGATTTTTTCAGTAGGATTTTCTCAGTATAACATACAGTAGTATTTTGGCTTTCATTCTGTTATGATATCATTTGTTTGTTTTTTTAGTTAAATTCAGGATTTTTTATAACTTTTTACAGAATAAAGATTTTTAATTTCTGCAAACACCGATGGTCAGCATTTTATTTGAATTTTACGCACTTACCTTACCGATTGTACTGCATGTACTAGTGCGAAGCTACGAACTTGTTACGTACTTGCCCTTTGTAAGTGCGTACTGTAACATAACTTTAATTAATAAGTCACAAAAAAAAATATTATCGTTCTAAATGAAAAATTAAAAGGTTTGCTACAACCAGGTAGGTCCATAAATTAACGTTTAAAACGCTCATTTGAATCTTTTAAAATTTGTTAAAAAATATGGGTTGCAAAGTTAAACTTTGCGAAAACTAGTGCGCACTTGCCCTAATTGACCTTATTTTTATATTAAGAGTAGAAAGTAACACTTTAGCTGTTGAGACAAAAAGTTATCGAAACAGCCAAAGTACTTTCTGCTCGAATTACTCACAATATTTTTTCTACGATCACACCCAAATAAAATAAATAATTAAATTTAATTAGAAATGGGTTATCTTCTCTTTCGTTATATTATTTTAAGTTTATTTGACATAAGCCTTCTCTTCGAAGAGAAAAAAATGTTTTAGTACTTATATGCCAGTGATTATTAATGATTTAATCATTTAATTATTTACGGAAAACACTGTTCGATGATTGAAAATTCAATTAATAGCTATTTATGTAACCAATTACGAAATTCCTTATTTTGTGTAACGAGCAAAAGTGTTACTTCCATGATCGGGAAGTGTCACTTAAAGTGACCTTTAATGTCAATCGGAGAAAATAGTTATTTGTTTAACTAGGCAGAGAAGTAACAGATTTACTGCCACGGCTAGCATTTCATTGCCGAGGCGAAGCCGAGGCAATGAAACTAGCAAAGGCAATGAATCTGATTCCCTGCCATGCGAAACATATAATTTTTTCTCCGATGGTTTGTACAGTGTGATTAAAAAAATCAAATTAAATTGAAAACTTTTTTATAACGAATACAACTCACAATTTTTAATATTTTTTCTAATCGTATGTTATAGGTAATAATTAAATCGTATTTTCTAATTATTATTGTCGATTAGACCTTAAATTTTATAAATAATAATATCTACCGAAAAATAAGACACCATTGCTACATTCAATTTGCTTCAATTTTCTTTATCAATTGATTGTCATGAGATAGAGGTTAGTGGATCTTTGCTAAGTAAAGTCTGGGTTTTTATGTTCCTTTTCTGAATTGTTTAGTTGAAATTCGCCATTTTTTTCCGTTTATCTTAAAATTAAGTTGTTTGGAGAAGAGCTTAATCTGTGTTTAGAGATATTTTCTAAAATAATGGAAAGTAATGAAGAAATGTTAACACCTCCCGAAATTAAAGAATTGGCCAAAGATGCAGAATATAATTTGTTGCCTACAAAATCCAGAAAATTGTATGAAATTTATGGATTATCGCAATAGCAAGAAAATCGGATCATTTTCAGAAAACGTTTTACTGGCGTACTTTGCAGTCTTAGCCAAGAAATTGAAGTCTTCGACTTTATTGTTTACATATTCTATGTTAACAATACTATAGATACATCCAAATATTTAAAGCTGCGAGCCTTTTTAATCCCGAGTACTGCAGAAATCACAAACTCAGGAATTTTTTTGGAAGCTCCAGATAATACATACCTATCTACGAAGGCTTGATGTCAATTGTTACAATATTTTAATGATAGATATTAGTAAAAGTAGAGTCATCATGAAAATATCTTAAAAAGCACCCCACGCTTTTCTACAAAAAAAGAAATTTTTTTGTTAATCACACTATTCTTAATTTAAATTAATTGAACATTATTTTCCACTTTTTTGTTTGCTTTTCTTTTAAAGCTTGTTTTCAAACTATTATTAACTATGATACGCTAGGCGGACAAATACACTGAATGGTAATTGACACTAATAAAAAAAAACAAAACATATGACACCACCAAACTTTTTGTCGATTGTCGATTGTCAATTAGATTTTTGTTTTCGGTTGATCTCCCCAATACATCAGTAAAATACTGTACATAGGTTTGGTAACATCCTGTATAGCTAAGCAGATTAATTTACTATATGTAAAATATATTATAAAATAATAATTTAAGAAATATTTACTTTTCCTCGAAATAAAATTCCTGCTAGATGACCAATTAATGATTTTAGTATTTATTTGAACATCTAATTGCTGTGAGAATCTGCATATTAATTGAATCCAGATGCACTAAAAGTAAAATTAGTGATTTTCTGTATTTAAATACGTTGCACGTAATTGCCATTTAAGTCAAAATGGGTTAATGAATGAATATCAATATGCTGTAATGTCGTCCAATAAATGATGAATCTTCTGCGAAAAGACAGAATCGTACTTGTACAGAACATTTATATTATAGCTACTTCTACATCAGTGTATCAACGAAAAAGTTATTAATAGTTTAATAAATATAGGTAAATCACATAGGTACCATTTTTTAAAAGTAAAAAGTTTTTGTTGTCGGTGTTTTTAAAAGCATCAAAAATAGATTTTAATATTTAACTCAAAACATAAACATCAAGAATAAAAAAAGTTTTTAAACATAGTTTTACTGCAACCTATTATGGATAACAAAGGCAAGGAGAGACAAATTAGGTGTGGTATTTACCATAAGAGGATCAAGAATAGAATTCAAAGACTTTCTGAAATATTTGGGCATACAGATTGATAAGGCTAGAACATTCAGATTTAACTTTACCAGGACTGTGGAGAACATGTCAACGCTATAGTGCGCTCACTAGAATCCTTCCAATCCTAAACTTACCCGGAAGTAGCAAAAGGAGATTATACAGCAATATTGTACAATCTATACTACCGTATGGTGCAGAATTATGGAAAGAGGTGCTTAATGTACAAACATTTAGAGACATGTTGGTTAGAGCATATAGAAAAATGGTACTCAGGACTATAATGGGATACAAAACTATTTCCCTGGAGGCGATCTTTGTATTAGCTGGAATAACTCACGTGAAGTTGTTAGCGAAAGAGAGGGAACATGTAGTAGAAGATGATATCAGTGAAGAGGGAAGAAGATAAGCAAAAGAGGATACAACGAAAAAATGACAGGACAAGTGGACTAAAAACACCAAAAAATACATAAATAGACAGAAATGAGTTAACTGTTAACACAGGTACACGAACTACTGGATGACAGTTTCTAAGCACCCACGGATGAAATGGCTTCTTCACACATAATATTGGTAAAAAAAGAGAACGAGCTATGTTACTACTGCAACAATATAGACACCACTGAACATACTGTTTTTTCATGCCAGAGGTGGCAAAACAAAAGAGGAGATAAAAGAAGTAACAGGTCTAAAGTTAATATCGGAAAATGTAATAGGGTACATGATAAGCAAAAAAGAACATTTTGAAAACGTTGATAAATTTGTCGCATAATGAGCGAAATGGAGAGAGAAGCCAAAAAAAATAGGCATGCACTAAAATAAATAATAGATGAGTCGGAAGAGGTCAACGCAGCCTGCCAATTTGATCTCATCATCGATCTTTTTAGAGAAATAAAAAGGGGTTTTAGCAGTAGTATCGCCCGATACTCCCAGACATATAGATTCAAAGTCTGGTGCCAAACGGTTTCCCCTCCACAAAACAAAGTGAGAGAACTGGTACATCTAAAGGTTACGGTTTGTTTTTGTTAGGGCAGTGCTCGATGCTTGACGTACGCAAACGGAAGGATTTGTCGACTCATGTCAGCTTAAGTAGAAGTGGTTTGTTAGAATATAAATAAGTTATTACGACTGGTCAGTTATGGGTTCTGTATCTGTATCTGTAACGTGTGAAAGGTGGATTACTCCAACAGCACTCAGGCCTCAGGGAATGTTCTTTAATTTGGTCTGTCATTACCGATTTTGTCAGTCCAACAGAAGGACCAGGTCCCAAAAGTATTTGGTTGGTTGCTTTCTTGGCTAGTAAATCAGCAAGACGGTTACCTTTTGATGTGGCATAACTTTTGATCTATCTTAAGTTGACCACATTGTTGATGGATACTTTGGCCATAGCTTCGTGACATTCTAATACTAACCCTGAATAAATTCGTGGTTTTTTCAGGGTGAGTAGTGCTTGTCTGCTATCTGTATAGATGAGCATGTTCCTTCCAGTGATATTGTTTCTGGTAATTTCTTTTGCTGCTATGAGAATCTTCGTTAGCTCAGTTTGAACCACACTGGTACTATTGCTCATAGCCCGTTTTATATTTAGGTTTAAGAATCTGGTGTATAGTCTACATCCTGAGCCTTGTCTTGTTTTAGATCCGTTGGTGTAGATATAAATCGTACCCTCCACTTCTGGTTCTTCTATTTGTTCTTTTATAACTTTATATGGCTTATGGAAGATATATCTTGATGAGATGGAGTCCATGTTTTAGTTTACAGATAGCTGTTAATTTTTGGGTTTTCGCTACCTAGACAACTGCACCGTATGTTAGCCATGTAAGTCCATGGGGGAAAAATCCCAGGTGTGCCCCACGGTTCGGCGGCATTTTTCATAAGTAATGTATGCTCTTTTCTCTATTTTTCAAATACGAGTTCCATGTTAACTTGCTGTCAAAGGTGATACCTAGGTACTTCACCTCTATTGCAAAGTTTAGTTTTGTGTTTAGGAGTTCTCGAGGTTTTAATTCCAGTTTCATCCTTATCCTTGTGAAAAGGACCATTTCTGTCTTCTTAGGATTGATAGACAGTGAATGGTCCTTTCACCACTGTTCTATAATTCTATAATTCTTTCGCGGAGTATGTTCTCAAAATTCTCTATTTGCAGAATGACTAGGTTATCTGCATATGCTATTGTGTCGTGACTGTCATTATTGAGGCGGCTGAAGATGGTGTCGATCTGGACCATATTCCACAGTAGAGGTGATAGCACCCCTCCCTGTGGACATCCCCTCGCA